CTACTACTACTACTACTACTAATAGCGGCCAGCACTACTGCCCCGCGCTTGTAGGTAAATGGTACCCGACCTGCCGGGCCAACACCTAACCGCATCAATAAACCGCTGGCCTTTCGTTCTTCGTGCCTGCGCGACTTCCGCAGCCATTGCCGCCTTGGACATCTACCGCATCTAACCTCGACAATGCAAGGCCTTTGCTTGAAGGTATAATTCTGTTCACCGACAACCTTTTAAACTTATTGTCTAATAGTGAGTGCAACTCACAACTGTTGTCGCTTCGCGATTGCGGCGACGAGGGTGCTAGCGCTGCTGGATCCCGAAAGGCAAAGCAGAGTTGAGGCTTTTGACTGTGTTTTGTATGAAGGTTTCGGGCTTTGTCCACAGAATCCGCCAGGGTCGGGAGGATGTGCAAATGTCCAAACATATTCATAGAAATCTTGTTGCCTCACGACGCAGGTTGTTTGTTTCTGTTTGTGCTTGCATGTGTTGCGTTACTGCCCGTGACATTTTCTGACGGAACCCTTTGCGTCTTCTGATCCGCTCTCCTCCCGACATCTGTTTGAGCCGAAGGTTTGTGTTCTCCGAATGGCGCACGCCTTCAAGCGCAAAACCTACAAAGGGACCCCCAACTTCGTTCGCTACGAAATATATGGGAATGAAATTTGCAGGGCGAACTCCCCTGGGGCAGTCCACTCCCAGACTCATGCCACGTGATGTGACATACCGCACGTCCAAACACTTGGCCGAAAGAAAAGTCCACATGCCACAGGTGTTGCGAGTTGGTGTTGGGCCCATCATGATTGTGGCCAGCTTCGTTAACCCCGTGCTCGTCACACTGCCGTTTTTCGGCTTCAAGGCCAGGGACCGTTTTACGTAATGCCTGCGCCGCACAAATTGAAGAGAAAATAGCAGAAGGGGCTTGTTTCAGTGCTAAGAGCTTGTTGCAGGTATACACCTATGGCCTCTGTATTGCGGCAGCGCTCGCATCCTGCGTCGTTTTCCACTCAGCGCTCTGTGTAGAACAACCTCACTGCAATCTGAGATCAGCTTCATCAGATCAGATAGTCAGGGTGTGGTGGAGATGGAGATAAGACGTCTGCAGATCTCGGCAGACGGAGCGGCGTGGCAGCATAACGTTTTTTTGCACACAGCAGCTTCGGTATAGACGCCTGTTGCATGTACGCTCTCGTGCTGTCAGGCTTTGCTGATGCTGGCCTTCATTCCTGGTTTCGGGATCGGATCGAAAGTCCCGAGCTTTGAGCATGTGGCCCTTGTGCGCGGAGAAATCCGAGCCTGAGGTGCACCTTCTCGTCTCTTCTCTGGCAGCCGGTGGAGTCGTTCCGAACATGTCCCTGGAGACAGGCCGGAACCTTTTTCGCCAGGCCCAGGCCTCGGGCTGAGCCGGAGCCGCAGGCTATGGCATATTAATTATGGCAATTATGGCATATGCATGGCATAGTGCCAGCGGGTAACTTCACGAAGCGATGAGTTTGCAAAGTGATGTTTTACAGGTTGGTCATGGCTGGAAAATCATTGGATTCAGGAAACTGTGAAGATGCATGAATGCCACCAGAACTTCAGCATGTTTGAGCATGCTTTCTCGCCACCCGGTTTTCGTGCAGGCCACTCCTTCATGGGCTCAGCCGTGGGGGGCTTGCTGACGGCCTCGCTTTACGGTTCGTGGTGTGGTCTGAGGCACTTCCCACATGCGCAAGCCTGTCGTAGTGCTGTTAGCCGCTAATGTACTGGGAACGTCTCTGTCACAGTTGTGCTTCATGTTTATGTCTGAACGGGTCCTGTGGTGGTGAGACGTCTCGGCCTTACAGAGCGCTTGAAGCAAGCCTCGAACAGAGCGAGCAAGACCAGTCTATAAGAAGTGACAAGAAGGCAGCTGCAAGATCGAGGGAGCCAAGGGACGGGGGCATGGAGTGGCTCAAAACGCATGAAATTCCGGGCGGAAGCGCAGCCAGTTCTGATGGTTCTTAGCATTTACCACTGTGGTTTCCCATCACTTCATGCTGGGACAGGACCCTTGTCCTCTTGGACCTTATTGCACCACTTGTCCCTCTGGGTACTGCCCTCAGCTACGAGCAACAGCAGGCCGAGCTTGTTTGGTACTCCGTATCTCTTCACGAGACTCGAGCTGTCTAGCAGTAGAAGATTCCATGCAGAGTGTGACTGCTTACCTCAAGCTCGTATTTGCCAGTTGTGTGTCCGAAGATAACATAGGCCTCAGGGTGCCTCTTGTAGTGAATGGTCAACCTGTGTCGAAGTTGGTTCTCGGCCATGAGGCACTTGCTGTCAATATTTCAGGGCGAGCGTCTAAAGTTTCAAGCTTTATCCAGTTTTGATCCTGAAAACTTTACTTGCAACAGACTTGCCTGGACTTCAAGGCCATGCCGTCGGGAAGATTGGCTGCTTCATGCCGCTGCCTCGAAGCCACGAGATGTTCTTTAGATGACCCTGCAGCAGTTGAGTCCCACCGACGGTTGCCCGCACTTCTGTGGCCTTGAAGTGCCACGCGAGGTCGGGAGATGGCTGCTACGGGCCCCGGACGAGAGCCGATGCTCCATGGGCCGGGTGCCCTTGCCTTCAACCCGCGGGTCCCTTCGATATTCACACGACTGTTCAAAGTCCAAATTGAGGCGATGTCCTTCCCGAACGGCTTAGTGCCAGTGCCCCTCCCTTGGCAGTTGGGGGGGTATGAGAGTGCCGTTCTTGGTCTCGCGATGCGAGGAGGGAGCCGGTTCATCCGACTCCACTTTACGAGTCTGCTCTCTCCATGGACTGGGGCTCGAGCTGCTCAGCCGCTGTGTTCCGGAAAGACATCGACCCCTCGAAGGCGCTTTTTCTGTTCCTCCACTTTGCCGTGGCGCTGCCCCAGAAGGGCGGCCGTCAGCGCCGTGTAGGCCTCCGCTTTCGCGTCTGAAATCTCTTGTAGAGTGTGGAATCGAACGGTCTATGTGACGTTTATGTGTTTAGCTTGCCGGAAAGGTGTCAGGAGTGCATTGACGCTCTCACTCTATGGCCTGGAGCGCATGTTGGTGGAACCTTTTCGGAGGAGCGTGTCTGAGCTGGCTTCTTTCTTGTGCTCACAGCGGGACGACCTTGCTCGATGCTCCTCGCGCACCCGAGGCATCCCCCCAGTGAGTACCTCTTCGGTCTGACCGAATATCAATTCCTAGCAGAGCCTTGATTGCAGTGGTTTGACAGAGACAGTAGTTTTGCTTTAGTCACAGCGGACGCTGAAATTGTGGATCTTGCCGCTGTAGCCGGCTTAATTGTTCTGCTCAATATGCATCCAAAGGTGATCTTCATCCTCATTGGTGGAGACGGGCGCTCAGTCTTGAAGCGCTGCTGGACTCTGACACCCTCCCCGTTCCAGAAAGCAAGACGGGCCTTGCAATGCTTGTCGACTGCCGGATGTTGTAGCTCTGCAAGCTTCCCTGCCGTTGTATACTTCGTTGAAAGAAACTCAAGAGCGATATGCCGAGCTCAATGGGGTTGAGGCCCAGGTGCGCAATTCCGTTCATGATTGGAATCGTGTGACATCAGCTTGGCCTCAAGACTTGTCATGGCTCCTCATCACTCTGCGCTTCTGCTCTCTGTGGCTGATGAGGCGATTAAACAAAGCCCAAGATGCTGCATCCCAACAGTTGGCCGTTGTGTGTCACGGCGGGTTGGCTGACGAACATCGTCATACTTTCCGGCAGGAACTGAACGAGAAAGCTGCTTGTCGTTGCACGGCCACTCGAAATCAAGAGTCTCCGTTGGAATCGGAAGGCCGCCTCTTTCTTTATCTTCGGTCAAGTTTAGGTAGTCTTCGTCAGTTTAGGGTTGGCACTCAGGATTGAACTCTGTGTTACCGTCGAACATAGCAGTCGATTGAATGGCTTAATCTCGAAGTAGAAGCTCATACCACCCAGCTCCTCAGTGTGCACGACATTCTGGCAACCAGAAAGTGTCAGAAAGTGTTCGGTGCCCTTAAAAAGGGTAGATCATAAGCGTTCCCAGCCCTGCCCTGCCCTGCCCTGCCCTGCCCTGCCTTGCCCTGCTCTGCCCTGCCCTGCCCAGAACGCCAAAGACAGTCCGTCCTTGATCGGTGGGAGCGGGGGTTACGTTGGAAGAGTTGTTTAGGGTCTACATTTGGAGTTTGACGTTGTGCTGTTTCTAGCCTGTAAGCACTAGATCGTCGGGCTTTGCGATCATCGGGTGAGAGGGTAGACGTTTCAATTGTTGCTCGACACACGGCCTGGCACATGCTGCTGGTGTCATCCCTTTGCCTGCAACTTTCTCCCGGCCACAGTACGTAGAAGAAGCTGAATCCCCCATCGCAGCAGCAAGAACTGTCCTGCGAAAGCAACCTTGACAGCCGTGGTTCTGGCAAACAACTCCAAGATGCAAGTTGCAAATAGTTGGCATGTTGTTCAGCACGGCAGTGGACTTGTGCCAGCCATTGCCCACAACAACCTGCCCGATGGAGTCCCCTAGCACCTGTGCTGGCTTTCGTTCCAGTCCCTCCCCAGCAAGTATGCAGTTTGCATAAAAGTGCGTGCGAATGACTGAATGCGAAAGAGATGCTGTCAACATTCTAAGCCAGCGGTTTTCAGAATGCTGCAGTACATCGCGTGACCAGACAGATGTGGCCTCGTGTTGCGGATTAGTCTCTTTGGAGTCGTTACCCAAGGTCTTGTACACTCTAGGCTCCACTATGGAGCCCTGGCCCCTCAAGCTCTCGGAGCAGGACTTCGAAGAGGATCTCACATGAGGCACAGACTATAAGGCAAGAAGTCTTCAGCAAGCGGCTGTCAGGATTCTGATCAGGCGGAGGACAAAGATAGCAAGAAGAGTCAGTAGGAGCTGCTGTCGGATTCGTGAGGGGTGCAGTTCGGAATTCAGATCTCCGTGCCTGATCACAGAAAAGCTGTGACAGCAAAGACGATGCGGTGCAGGCCAAAACAGGATCTTACCAAATCGGCATGGAAGCTTCTTGGGCACTTGGGTTCAGACTCTCGTCTTGACATGTCTTGACTGGCGGGTTTGATGTTCGCTTTTTGGGCTTGAATGTGCTGGAACTGTCACAGCTGCGCGGCTAAGCCGCAAAGCGAGTGGAATGCCTTCATTATCATCTCAACTTCAATTTCCGTGGGATCTAGTTTACAAGTTCTGCATCAACAAAGACCATCATACGGCGTCTGACCGGATAGAGGTTCGACTAGCCAGACCTTGAAAAAACGGAAAGCTGAGCCATCAGCTGGCAGCTAGACGAAGCGGGCAATGTTCTCGGTCTAGTGCGATGCGACCGCGAGCGACCGAGGATGCTGTCTCGTCCCAAGCCTTTTGAACCGCTGACTTTGTCGACCTGGCAGTCTGTGCGTCTCTGCTTCAGGCATGCAGCAGAGTGTGCGAACAAGCAGCAATTCGTGAGCAACCCAGCCCCCTTGGGCCTTCGGCACATCGAATCAGACCAGCGGATCCCAGTCGCTGGGGTCTCTTCCGCAACATCCCAGGCTGGGGTCTTCAAGCTCTCCGGAGGTGACTTTCGCAGGCCCCGGGAGACAGGGGTTGGGCATGTCTATCGGCGTTGTGCGGGCTAGGGTTGCGCTGTTCTGCTCAGGAGTGGCATCAGCACAAAGGCCTGGTGCCATGTTGTTGTCTTTCGAAAGTGTTGTTAAGAGTGAGCAATGCTTTTTCGTCATAATATCATCAGGGTCGTGGCCTGTGCAGGTGAGGTTGCCATGGATACTCAGGCCATTGTCGCATGCTCAGCACAGCTTGGACAATGCGAATCTGGATAGATTTCTTCAGGATTTTCTTGGTGGCCACGCTCTTGGCACCATGTGCGGGCCAGGACGATGGAGAGCAGGAGAGCTCGGAGAGATTGGCTTTCCGTGCGGCATTCTCCCGAGCCTTACAAGAGCTGCGCTTGGCTCTTTCTTTGCCAGGAGGCAGAGGCAATAGACTTCAGTCTTCCTGGCGAGGGTACCGTGAATTCAGTAGAGGAGGCGATGGCCCATCCCGCAAAGTATATGCAGCTATGTGCAGCTGCTCTGCTTGCCAAGAATATGATCTCGACAGGTGGTCAGTGGGGTGTTTCTCATCTATGGAGAGATGGACGCTGACCTGTTGACCACAGGAGTGGGTCTGTTGCAAGTTGCAGGGCACTTGAAACGTGGATCGAGGCTGTTGAAGCACAGGGGATCACACTTTTCATCGCACGGGGTGGATAGTGACCTCCGATCCACACAGGTCCACTCGTGGGTAGATTGCTCAGCGGCTAGCATTTTGCTTCGAGCTTTCCCCGAAGTTGGTGGCAGGAGACATCGACATAGTAGTGACGGAGACTGTCGGCAGCCTCCTTAGTCCAAAGAGGCTCGCGAGACAGCAAAGTCCAAGAGAAGCATCTACTTGAGTTTGTCAGACATATTAAACATGCGTGCATACATACAGACATACATACACAGATCAATATGTAAACCTGCGACACTGGCAGGGCCAGAAGAATGTCACGGTGCTGTAACCGTTGTTGAGGCAAAGTTTGCAAGAACTTCGAGCGGAGTTCTGGAGCGCCGACTCTTGCGAAAATGTTTGTTGCCGGAGACCCGGGGAGCCAGCACGGCAGAGGTGATCTTCCTGCTCTTCTAAGGTCAAGGAGTGAAGGCAGGTAACCTCCAACAGGTTTAGTGTGCCGCTTGTGACTCGTGATGTCAGCTGCTGCAGTGCTCCATTCCTAGCAGACCTACCCTGCACCTGGGGCTGTTCCCCAAGGACGTGCGCACCGTGGGACAGAGGCGATTAGGCGGGGCCTCTCGTGGCGTTCCAGCGGTCTAGCCTTTGCCTTCTGGGCAGGCATGAACTACACCTGGCAGATGCTGCCCCCCATTGAGGTTCCAATTGAAAAGCATTTGTAGTTCGGAAAGACTAGGCCCTACTAGGCCCCTTCCTGATCAGGCTGGCAAGGACTGTTTCTTGACTGCACCATGTCCTCGTCATGCTCCGAACTAAAATCGCTGAACCCTAGCCCTAAACCCAAGAAGCCCTGAGGCATCAACAGACTCGCCATGGCTGCGTCCTTAGAGACTTGCTCAGGGCTAGGAGACTGGCAACGCAAGCTCGGACCGGCCACCGTAACTCAGGTGAGCTTTGGACCCAAAGAGCCTCCTTTTGACAAGTTCCCTGCTCCGCCAATCAGGTCCGACTTCAGCAGCAGAAACAGTATCTTTGAAAGCTTTCTCCCAGAATTGATTTCGTTGCTGGCAGGGCCTTATTCGAGGCTGAGATGCGCCTCCATCCGCCAACCAGGCCACTCGTAGGTGACACCAGAATGGCCTCGCGAGACAGTGAATGGCAGGTTCCTCAACATGACAGGGTGGACCTTGAGCCTGCAAAACATGTCGTGTGACGAGCGGCAGGCCAGGCATGCAAGGAAGCATGAAGAACCCTGCTCTCCACACTGCACTCCAGCGTTGGCAGGTTATAAAGCATTGGAACCACAGCAGAAGCATTGATGTCTTCCCCACGGAAGAGACGTGGCCTCAGAGGGTCGCAGCTGCCAGTAAGACATGCTCTGTCAAAAGCCGGCCTAAGATGCCCTAAGGCCCGAGTGCCTCGGAACTGACAGCGTCACCTGGGAGCCCAACCTGGAAGGCCGAGCTTCGGCGCCCTCGCCCTTTTGACTCCTTTTGACGTCTCCACACCTCATCAGTCAGGCGAGTTTGACCTCAACGAGGTCGGTGGCTGTGACCTCGCTGCTTCGCCGGCAAAGTTTTCCTTGACAGTCTCCTAAGTTGAGTTTCAGCTTCATCCAGCAAGTAATCATGGGAGTTTGGCACTTTGGCGATATGTACAGCTTTTAATTTTAGGAGCATGGCAGTCGAAAAGAGCAATGTTTCCGTTTGGGCCTGATGCACACGGACATTGATTTATTTTGTCGCCCTTGGCATGCAGATGTGCTCTGAATTTGACCATGGGTGTGTCGTTGGACGCAGTCCGGAGAAAGGGTGATGTCGCACACGACGCGACTTGAGACCCAGGGGCGTGTGTTTTTGTTCATGATCTTGGGTGCTTGCAAACTCACAAACATGTTGAGCTTTGAAGTCCTTGCGAAGATGACAAATGACAGAGAGCGTATCTACCTCCAAGCATGCTCAGGCCGCAAGCAACCCTTGTGTTTGTGCTGCACTGTCAAATTGTGAGTGGGCTTTGCTCTCAGTCTCAAACGACGGTGAAGTTCGCTTGATGTTTGCACTGCCGAAAGTGCCATGAGGTGACAAGTGTCAGCGGAGTGCCTCGTTGTGCTGGCAACTTAAGCTGCAGTGCAAAAAGGAGTGCACAGGTCAGAGGAGCCTGTGGAGACATTGCTTGTCGTGCCCGACAGATGCTATTCAAGCTCTTGCAAGCTCCAGGTGTACACCTCGCGACCCGGTGTGCCATGTGAGGCTTGCCCAAACCAGGCACTCGCATTGCCTTATTCTCGAGTTCAATCCGTTGCAGAGCTGTGTTGTGTGACAACTCTGTGACAGCCACAATGCGTCATTACCCCCGAGAAAGAGTGTGAGATGAAGTCCACACCATGTGCCGGCAACCAAGCAATTGAGACCGTTTAGCTGTTGAGGTTTTTTGCGTTCGCTTGCAGATCTGGACAGCAGGCATGCGTGCTTCGCGGCGGTGGATGCAACTGGGACATGGTACCTCGGCGGAAGAGTGGCTTAAACTGTGCCTTTGGAAATTTACTTAACTTGAGGCCACGAGTCGCTGCTACTTCGATGTCACGGCCAGCACCGCTTGTTCTTCCTCTCAGAATGGCTGGACCGTTGCAGCGATGTGCCTGAGGGAGCCCCTCCTTGAGAGTTGTTTACGTGGGATGCTTGAGGCATTGCCTGCTCTCGGCAGGGCTTCTGCAGTCTGCCAGCAGCCGTGCCCTCATCTAACAATAACAGGATGCAAGGTGGGTGCCTTTGGTTGGCAGCTCTGCTTGTGCATTCTGCCTGCTGGAACCGAACTTCCTGGTGACGGCATGTGGAGCAGGTTAGAAGCAAGCAGCCTGAAAACCTGGCTCTCATGGGCCAGTCCAGCGCTCAGAACGCGAAAGCACCAAGAGCTCTTGTGAGGGCCGGGCCAAGCCTCCCTGTACCAAGGGAAGAGATTGGTTGGTTCATTAATGTGACTTTTGACAGGCAGGGTCGAAGCAGTCGTTGAACAGCGAAGTCCGTGCTGCAGCTCTCAACTGCTGCCAGGGACATTGAGTTCCTCCGCCTAGGTGCGCCAGAGACCAATGTCGGGGACGGTCAATGACAATACGTTGCTTTAAATCCGTTCTCAGCATCATCGGCTGTTGCTCATAAGATGTAAGCAGAATACCTTGGCGCTTTTACAGCAGCAGCTGCTTGGCATTGCCTGTTGTTGGCCAGGCCTCGGATCAGGCATCATGCTGCAGTCGGTTTCTCAGCAACGGTTCGCTAATGTAGCATCAACAGTTTGCTCCTGGACAGAGGTATCCTTACCAGTTTTTTGCTTACTTCCCCGCCCTTCCAACACTTTTGCTGCGCCGCTGCGTTTCCGAGATGTCGGTCGAACAGACCGTGCGCAGCTCAGTTGCCTATCCCGGACTTGTGGGGGTTCCATGCTGAATGTCCCTTTCTTTCTGTCTGTCTGTCTGTCTGCCTGTCTGTCTCTCTGTGTTTCTCTGTCTCTCTGTCTGTCTGTCCGTCCGTCTGTCCGTCGGTCTGTCCTGTCCTGTCCGGTCCGGTCTGTCCATAGAAACATACACATACATATACATGTATGATCATGTATGTATGCATCTATGTATGTCTGTCTGTCTGTCTGTCTGTCTGTCTGTCTGTCTGTATGTATGTATGTATGTATGTATGTATGCGGAAAGAAACCAAACATGCGCAGCAGTCGGTGCTAGTAGCGTTGAGCCTGGTCACGAAAGCTCCCCTCTGGGAAGCTTGAGTTTAGTACCCAGCTTTGCTGCTTGCAGAGCTACCCCCCCCTTGTTTTTCGAGGGAATCCCAATGCCTTGGCTGGATTTGAGAGCGTTGCCCGGCGAGGCTTTTCGTGGCCATTTCGGGGAAGTTAATGGAAGGGCTTCTTCGGAGAAACAGGACCCCAATGATGCTCATGATGCTCGTTCTGGCGGGGGGGGAACCCCAATGATGCTCCACCATCTTTGGAACGCCGGTGCCACAGTTTGTTGCGTGGAAGCGGAGAAGGGTTCCATTGGAGATGGGAACATTGGTCTAGAGAGAGGGATGTTCTGCATGTGTTTGCCAGGGGCAGCTGTTGGTAGTGGCAAATATTCGAGTGAGAACTATGAAGGCTGATGTGGAAAAGGGTTCTACGTGAACATCAACTGGACATGGGTTGTTTAGGTGATTTCAAATCTCACCGACACCGCGTGCCAATAGTGAGATGAAACAATGGACGGAGCGTGTCCTGACTGCTCGAGCTTTCGCCCCCCCCTGGGGCACAAGTCCAAAGACACTAGAGATTCTGTGACTGTTCCTTGCTTGCTTTCTCAGCAGGGGAGATTGGGCGCCAACCTTCGAGTTGGAGTACGGCCAGCTGGCGCTGACCTCGCAGGGAGCGTTGCAGTATGGCACGGCATCTCCCGCGCTGTTGGCTTGGGATTTCGAGGTCATCGAGGGAAGCATCCTTCACATCAATGTCCGAGGGCTGCCCAATGACGAGAGACGGGACTGCGATCTCGCCACTCAGAGCGCACATAGATTGGGAGGGTTTGAAGCCATCTGCTCGAGTGAAGAGCCATCGAGTTATGTCTTGGGAGCGTTGCAGTCAGGTGATCGCCAACAATGCCGTGCCTTCCTTTGGGGAGTGATTCTTGCCTCTCAGTTCGATTCAGCCCTGGCCAAGCTGCAGGTGCGTGATTCGCAGGATCGGCTTCCATTCGATGGCTTGGAGGCACATACAACCATCTTGGGGATGTCAATGGCGGCATTCCTTGGTTTTCAAGCTTCATGAGGACAACATCATCTTCGTCACACTTCCGGACGGGATCCCTCCGGAGGCTCCGCGGCGGGGCCATGCGTGATCTACCGTTGTTGTTTTGGTTTGGGCAAGCCCTTCTCCCCCAGACTTGCGCTTGTGTCTTGGCAGCGTGGTTTCGCTCTGCACGCTGTCTGGCTTCTGCACTTCCCTGGGCATGCATGCAGGTAGTGAGCTTTGAGCCAGCGAACAGCGTTTTCAGCTCGGTTGGTCTGCTATGATTCTGCTCTGCTGCAACACGCCAGCAAGGCACGTGGAGTTTCGCTCGTCATGACCTCGGGGGGTGCACACCAAGACAGCGCAGAGGTTGACAGGTTGGCATAGTCACGCTTCGACTCTGGTTGTGCTCAGGCTACAACGGTTCACTTCCACTTCAACGAGAACATCAGATTCTGCCGATTGCCAAAACTTGTGCAGCCGAGCTTTCAGTAGCCTCATGTCGTGCCTTCCATGTCTCGGCTGTTTCTCGAATGTCCAGACTCCATTGGCAATCTGGAACTGTACATCCTTGGGGGAAATCGAACTGGCAGGGGCCCCAGAATCGGTTCACAGCCAGCATCGGAGTGTCTCTGAATGCGGCACGCCTTGTCAGATCGTGCCGCGGACATCAAGATTGCAGAGATCTCCGTCTGGGACGAGGCAAGTTTTTGATAGTTTCTGTCTCAGCGACCCGGGTGCTGCACGAGGTCGTGCAGCAGGTATGCTTTAGCAAAGTATTTCTACTCGAGAAACAGATTGATTAAGACCTGTTTTGCAGTGGGCTCGGCCGCGACCAAAGGCACAAAGCACACAAGTACTTCATTCTGCATGACCCTATGCCGAGAGGCACCTCTGTGCTGTCAGCAGTCTTCCGTCAAGCAGGCGGTGGCCATCGACAGGGACAACCGTAACATTCTTCATGTGCAGCTGACTGGACTGCTGAGCACCAGCACGTAAGGGCCTTGAGCTTCCAATTTGCGTGGTCCGACAGTTGCTATGGTGGGCTCAGGTACTATTCGCTGACTATTCCACCACAGGCAGCAGCCATTGTGTCTTGAGCAAGCCATGCTTGGCCAGTTCAGTTTCGAATGGCTGTGATGCTCGCAGACAATAAGCGACATCTCCAACAACCCATTCGGAGGTTCTTGTCTCAGAGGGTGTTTGGGAGTACTTCACAGCGTGCTCGCTCGACTAAGAAACAGCATAAGGGACAGTGTGCTTGAAGGAAGTCCTACGTGCTTTCGTAACCACGAGCGGTGCGAACGGGATGATCAGGAAGGGTAAATGGCATGAGACAAATTTGTTTATATCCGAATAAATGCCGTGGTTTGCAGCAACTCCTGAGGTATTGACCGTGGTGTGTATATCTTTCAGACTGGCGCAGCAGGGGACACAGCTGATGACATCCACGAGAGTGTAAGACGCGAATGTTGCGGAGCGCGAGGGGAAAATGTGACGTTTTTGCAGTCATGGCTGTAGGAAGAAATCGTGGAGGAGCTCGTGGACGACACCGAAGGTGCATGCAGAATGCTGTTTATTTTTTCGTGGGCAACATGGGGCAGAAGTGTCGGGATGTTGCGTGGTAGATACCCTCAGAATGTCGCGGCATTTGCACTAGCCCTCAGCCGTTGGTCACACAGCCATGCCCCTGGAAGCTGACAACGCAGAGGGTTTGCTTGCGACATCTCCGAGTTTCGTTCGTAACGTCTGGCTTTTCGTTGCGAAGTGCAGAATTGGCGTTGGTTTCGGACCCACGAGCCTCCGACTCTGAGCCTGAAAAGCCTGAAAAGCACAAAACCTGTGTTGACTGCACATCGCTAGTCTTTCTGGCCGAAGCCTTAAGCCCTAACCACTCTCCCAAAATCCTTGAACCTCAAACCCTAAAACCCCAAAACCACACTGAGCCCAACAACCCAGCCCTGTCCCTCAAACCAAACCCTGAGCCCCAGACCTCGACCCTAAACTAAACCCTAAACCCTCGACCATATCTCCCCCATGCCCCAAAACCCTAGCCCGAAACCCTAAAACCTAAACCCTTGCCCTAGCCAGGGCTGTTTTCAGGAAGACCGGACCTTAGCTGCAACATTCCAAAACCCTAACTCTAGCCCTGAGCCGTGAACCCGCACCCCTAGACCTTACCGGGCCCCCTAAACCCCAAGCCGAAAACCTGGGCAACCCGAAAGCCTAAGCCCTGAAACCCAAACCTAAGCCCTAAACTCTATCTCCCCCAAAATCCTTCAGCCCTAATCCCGAAACTCTAGACCCCATATCCCTTCTGCCCGAAACCGAAACCTGCAACCCCTAACCAGCCTCAAGCCGAAGCTGAACAAACCCCAAACCCTATTTCCCTTATATGACTTAAACTCCTAGCCCTGCAGCCGAAACCTTAACGCCCAAGCACTAATCCCGAAGCCCTAAACCCTCCCAAGCCCCGAACCCTGAACTCTGCTTCGAGCTTATCTTAACTCCAAGCCCCAAGCCTCTCTACCTTGCAATGCAAGACGAACCCAACACCCCCTATCCCAAGCAAGTAGAAGCCACAAATGAACACAGGCGATTTTGCCGAGCCTTGTTGCAAATTCGTGTGTTTGAGAAGTCACAGGTTGATTTCAGTACAAGTACGACAAGTCCATAGTTCAACTGGTCAGCACCATGGGCAGGTCATATAAGCTCATTTTACTAGGAATGTGTTCAATTTGGACTTTTTGGGTTTTAGGCTCTTGTGGATGGCCCCCAAAGCCGTCGCTACTGTTGAAGACTGGAGATCACGGGCCCTTGTTGCATGCATCGTTGCGAACCCTGGTGCGAACCTGATCAGAAGAGACGCTGACCTTCACCATAGTTTTGGCGGCGGTTGGTGTTCTGGCCGCTTCCTCAGTGGCTGCAGCAGAAGTCTGTCATCGCTTTGCTATTCGAGTCGAAAGGTGTTGGCCATGGCAGTCGTGGCTGCATACCTTGCCGGGCTCTCGCTGCAGCGCAGATCGAAGTCACAGAGTTCTTTCATGGACGGCTGCGGTGAGGTTCTCGAGACGGTGCGAAAAACTAGAAGGAGGCGGGACGGGATCGTATCAGATCACCGCACGGCAGGGTTTCAACGTCGTGTGGCGCAGTCTGCGGTGAAGCAGACGCAGTGCCCTGATGTTTACGGACTGCAGGGATAGGGGTGAAAAACAAGTATTTAAGGTGTCATAAAAACTACTTAAACGAGAAAGTCATTTAAGGGATCAAACACTCTATGCCCGTTTTGAAAGCAGAATACAAGGTAAAAGACAACGGAACAAAACAAAGCATAGACACTTGTGCCAGGGATCCAAGAAACTACTCCAAGCAAAATCCAGAAAGCAGGACGGAAAGAAACAAAGAACGAAAGAAGCAAAGAAAGAAACACAGAAAGAAATCAACAACTAAAGAAATAGATAAATAACGAAATAGCAACAACCAGAAACACAGAAAGAAGGACAGCAATTCAGTTCAGAGACAACGAAAGACATAACGAATGAACGAAACAACGTAGGAAAGACAGAACAAACGAACAAAAAAACGAAGTAAGCAAGTAAAAACAAAGATCGCACATCGAAGGAACGACAACACAAACAAAGAAAGAAAGAAAGAAAGAAAGAAAGACGGAAAGAGACAGCACTTCGGCGCAGAGAGAAAGAACACAGAAAGACAGAAAGACAGTAATACATAGAGAAACAACGAGCAAAAACGAATGAAGCAAGAAAGAAGGAAAGAAAGACCAGCAACGGAGCACAGAGAGGTTAGTTCCTTACTATGGATCCTAAGTAATTACGAGCGTACTTGCCTGATCAAAAATCTAGTGACTTAGGTCCATGCACTCTCTGCAGACAAAAGCATAAGTAAAAACAACATCTGAAACCATCAAGCCGAGACCTCAATTCCCAGAGCTTGATTTCGTGCGTTTTCTCAGCATGATAACGATGACGATGATGATGGTGATGATGGTGATGATGAGGATGTTGATGATGAGGATGTATATTTACATGTATAGGTGTGTATGTATACGCATAAGGATGTATATGTACATATGTCTACATAAGTACATAGACATGCAAATATGTGAGTGTATATATATATATATGTGTATGTAATTATGTGTGTGTGTGTGATGTGGTATATATATATATATGTACGTCCACATGTAATAAACCCGTCCCCTGGCCCCCACTCAAACTAAGCCAAGTCAAGCCAAGAGCATTGTAAAATGCGCATGGTGTACACATAGAAAGTCCTCTATGCCTATTAAATTATGTGCCATCTTTCAGCCCTCGAACCTGCCTCAAAGAATGGCGGCCATCAATGGATATTCCGTCATATTCCGTGAAGCAGCTTTTCTGTGAGCATTCTGTTTGCAAATGGGGGGAGGCCGCGCATCGCAATCCCCCGGTTGATTCAAATTTGAAGCCATGCGAGCCTGCTTCAAAGAATAGCGCGCCATCAATAGACATTCCTCATGCAGCCTGTCTATGAGCATTCTGTTTGCAAATGGGGGGGGCCGCACCCCCCGCTCTTCTTAAGTTTTCAGCCATGCGAAGCTGCTTCAAAGAAGAGCGCGCCATCAAGACATTCCTTCAGGCAGCCTTTCTACGAGCATTTTGTTTGCAAATGTTGGGGGGCGGGGCTGCGCCCCCCAACCCCTCCCGGCCATGCGAATTTGCTTGAAAGGACAGCGTTCCGTCAATGGACATTTCTTTCCTTCATGAAGCCTTTCCATCATCCGCGCCTCTGCGTGATAAGAACATATGAGAATGCGAAAAGTGGCCTCCACCAGAGTGATGAGGGCGTGCTGACCATGTATTCAAGGCAACTATTCGTTATTTCTTGATTTGTGCGTGGCCTTCATTGGTAGGTGTGTTTGGAGGGCAACAATAGCGTGATACAAGTAGCACGGCCAAAAGGATTTCCCCCGAGTGCCAGCGGGTGTTGGATTGACAAATTGCACTGGCGGGATTCGGAAGCGTGTCAAGAATGTAATGGGGGGAGCGTGTTTAAGATATATGAGGAAGAGTGTTTAATTAATTAACTCATATATATATATATACGCACACGTACATGAATACAAATACACGAATAAATAAACAAAATATATACATACATATATATATATATATATATATATCTACACTATGAACTGGACTCGCCGGATCCGGGGGCGTGTTTAAGATATACGATGAACCGGAATTGCCAGACGAGGGGTCGGCCTTTAAGATAAAGACGGATTCTCACCCCGAGTTCTAACGGGTTCTGTTGGGCTGACAAAATGTTCTTCCCTATGTGCTGGCGGGATTCCGTTTTGCTTGCAAAATAGGAGCAAGGAATAGTTTTTTTTGATTCCTAAAATAGGTTTTTTGATCTTGTAAACTAGCCTGCTTCCTCTGTATTTTGCTAGTGAATTGAGGAATAGTTTCTTTTGACCCCTTAAGTAGTTTTCTGATCTTTGTAAGATATTTTTTAACAAATATAAAATAGTATTTTTTGATGCTCCACCCCTGGCTGCAGGGCTCGGGTTGTTGCTCGACGCGACGAGAAGATGGAGGCCAGAATGGGTGACCAATACCCCGCGCAGTCTGCTTCGGAGGGACCTGAGACCCGGAGCCGCGCGCATCGAAGGTGTACAAGAACCCTTCCCAAGCACAGTCTGTCAAAGTATCTTGTTGGCCAACAACTGCTACATGCACGTCGAGCATGCGCAAGCACATGATGAGTTGCACCCGGGTCATACACACCATTTCCCACAGCTGCTGCAACCTTCAACAAACGCAATCAAACCAAACTTCGCGAGTTCAGGCCCCAGTCTGCTGTACTTTCAAAAGTTAGAGGATATTACGGTATTCCTGACTCACCTGGACGAGGAGGCCGTGCTAGAGTCCAACGCTCCGGAGACCGCGAGGTCTACAAAAGCTGCGGACCTCAACTTGGGCAGCGAGTGTCCGGTACACAGCGCTTTTGCAAGTTTTGGGCTAGTTGGAAGATTTGCCTATCTTTGTTTCTGTCCTCAGTGGAAGAAGAGTGGCCTGTATCACTGGCACCGTCATTGAAAAGCCCAACTTCGGCGACAGCAAGCTCTCCAAAGACGGCCCCTGCCTCGAAGCAAAACTGCCACAATACTAACATGATACAGTTTGCGGTCTCGAGCCAAAGAGCCAAAGGTGCAAAGCAGTGGTCAGCTCTTGTCGCCACAGATGTCGCCGAAAGGACGACCATCAGTGCAGGCTGCGAGCATCTCCGGATCGAGCGGCTTAGATCGTAATTAAGCGTGCGTTTCGGTCAGCATGCTCTCGAGGTCTTCTCGAAGCCAGAGGAGCTAAAGACACACGTGCACGACCAGGCGCGACATGGTCCTGTTACGCACGCCGATTTCGTTTCTACTTCATCCGTGGATCTCGATTCGCCTCCAGTTGCGGCATTCCGGCAATGTAGTCAGTCCGCGGCCTACTGTACCTTTCTGCTTGCATGATCAGCAGAAAGTTTGTCAGCGCAGAGAAGCACAGCACTAGATCTTCAAGACTTTGTGAGTGCTGCCCGTCTTTCAGCTGCCCGCCAGCGATGCATCAGTCAGCATGAGATTCAAGTCGCCTCCGAAGTCCGTCAGTGTAGCTAATGCGAGTCTAGCGCACGAGGTCTCGCCGATTTGCACGTCAAGAGCAATTCCATGATGAGAACAATCGGTGGCAAGGTCGGGCATCACCTGCACGTCGAGTCCAATACATCCCAATCGGTCCGTCCAAATAATACGACCTTGAAGCCTTTGCTGTGGAAGATGTTCTGCGTCTCTACGATGATTAGGGTGCAGTAATGATGAAGGGGTTGCAACCCAAGATCTGTCTCGGCAGGTGGAGGACCGAAGTAGAGGACGCATCCTGGCTGCGTTGAAGGCTTCAGGGCCCTATCGAGCCCACCACTTGTCGCATGTCATGTGACAGCTTATCAGCCCAGCCCCAGTGTCGTGGAGATTTATTTTGATTATCCCAGTGTGGCATTGCTTCGAGCTCAAGCCACAGCAAATCCGGAGGCCCTGATGCGGTGCCTTCCTCATGATAACCTCACAGCCAAGGAGGGTCAAGGCCGACCACAAGCGGCTCTGTTACGGCCCCTTCGTCACCATTGGGCAGAAGGCAAGCTGAATACTAAAGCTGTATGTTGGGTTTGTCAGACTCTGGACTCCACCACGCAGCTTGGATCCACAGGTTCCGTCTGTCATTTTCCCCGGGGTTGGCAACCGAAGCTCGGATGTTCGATTTCTGTTGCTTCGCACTTGGGCTTCGGCTTGTCTTGAACCCGAGTTTCGTTGGGGTCTGCGTGCTCGCAAGCATCTGGTGATGAGAAAACTGCTCGTCGTCTTGGTGGCTTGAGACACAATCGCAGTGGAACGGAAAGACTCAGCATCTTGCCCGCCCTCGCATTCGAAGAATGGCCAAGTGTATTATTGCAGCTTTAGCGATCGGTGGTCGGACACCTTGGCAGGCACTCCATGACGCTGTCTCCGACTGCTCCGAAAGTGGAGGCCTAACTGCCTTCAGCAAGCGACTTTGTGCTTTGCACGCAGCTATGAGCAGTCCGTCACGCGCCCCTGACAGCCGTTCGAACTGGGTTTCTGCCAGGATCGGCGCAAGTTGCACTCGGCGCAAGGTGTTGGACACCAAGGTTTGAAGGGTGCAACTGGCTATACGCCGTTCGGATGATTGGCTTGGCAGATGGCGGTGACTCCTCATTGGGTTGTCATTCCTTGGCTGTCCACCTTTTGCTTCACAGAAGTGAGACTTCAGCGCATGCTCAGAAGGTTCTTTCTGCACGTAGCTAGGATTCAGACAGAGCTCCATCAATGCGAGACCGCCAGGGTCTTCTAGCATTCTCCCAGCATTGCCACACCTGCTAGATGAATCCGAGTTGTGTCTTGCAATGGTGCGCTGGTGGGAGAATAGCCAAGACAGATCCCAGGACGGCTCCTTGCCAGACTGAGAGAAGTGCTCAGCAACCCAGGATGTCAGTCAGATACCCAGCCAACCCCCTGTCTGCAGGAGATCCTCACGAGCCTTCGTGCGACCCGAAGATGCACTTCTAGCTCCTCGGCCTGTGTCCTGCATGCCACTGGTAGAGCAGGGAAGCCAGAATGACTTTGCCTGTGATCCTCCGTCGGATACGGGTGATCTCCCCCCAGCCGCAGTGCTTGAGTTTTGTCGTGGGAGATGCCAGCCAGGCAATTGGAGCTACACCAATGTGAAATATAGGGTCAATGCCGGCATTGCAGAGGTGGGTTTCTCAATTCTCATCACGACAGGGCCAGTCATTGTGCTTCGTGTTGCAAAGCTGGCGCATGTTTTGAACCTGTGGTGCCGAGGTCAAGTTGGACGACCCCCTTACTGGCAATGCATTGCTGCTCGAACTGTCAGCAGGGCTGGGATGGACCAAGATGCAGAGAGAGTGCAAAAGCTTCCGCACCACACATACATTATCTATTCATTACTCGTATCTGAGTTCTAAAGGTATGTGTTAGTCACT